ATGTGCCAAAATTCCTGCCCGGATGTAAGTCTTACAATACGACAACATCAGTATCTGGTACGAGTATGTACCCACTGAAGAAGCGACTACAATATTCGACCCGTGAAATGAGTCCTAAGCAGTCTATAAAATACTTGAAAGCTTCGACACATTTATATGAATATCTGGGGTCTGGGGAGTAGCAGTGTGCTTTGATATAACTGTACGATGTGGATATAACTAGATGTTCCTGCAAAGGAGGAAGTTAAGCATTGTTTTGATGGAATTAGGGAATGAGACGTGTAGCGAGTTGACTGAGCATTTCTCTTCTAACGGAACTTAACTCTGGCCGGAACCGGACAGCCAAGCCGTTATCTTGCAAGGTAAAACCCATCCGATCTGGTACACATTCACGGTGATTTTATCTTAAGTCGGCTTCATTTGTATGTCTGTCATTGTCCACTTTCCATTTTCTTACTGCAAAGATGCGTAGTGAACTCTGTTTCGATCTTATGTATTAGAAAAGCTACAGATTTATAAAATGGGGTAAATTTCCATGAATAACATCTTCACTCGATTTGAATACTTGAAAATGCTAAGTCGTGGCAGCAGCATGCTCATTGGAGCACAGCAGCACATTTTTATAATTGCAAATTTGTCCAACAAAGTTAACTAATATTGAGCCTACGGTCAGCTTAACAATGTACATCCTATTCAATCCTCCTGTAACGTTTTGTTTTGTTATACCCATTGGCTGATGAATCATCCTAGCCTAGCTGAACACCTTGACGGGATGCTAATAATTCGGCAGTCAAGTTACCATGACTCATCCAGGAGACTCAGGTGCATCCTGGTAGTTTCCCGCTCTTCGTAAGATCTGTATTGATGTTCTCAGAAAACGGGACACGGAACATCGCAAATAATGCTATCATCCTTACCCTACCATGAATCCATCTGCATAAACGTTCGGATCCCTTAGTAGTTTCTGGATCGGTTAGAGCTATGGTGACGCACGTTAAAGCTACACCAGGTGCATATTTACAGGTGTGTGTCACAAATCACTTGAGATGAAATCAAAATGTGTTAAGGCATGCAGACAGAACTGAGACAGCCTTAGCCATTTTGGAGCCTGGGTTCAACAGGTCCGCTTTAATTACCAGTATAACGCCTTTTGGGGCGACTAACGGAGCGAGCGAGAGGGTGGGCCTTGCACGTGCGAAATTGCGAGGGGGTACCTCCAACTCACTTGTGCACGGCACCCTACTAACCGGTCTCTAGCGATGTGCCAAATTTGGGCACAATCGGCCCAGCCGTTCTCGAGATCTGGAAGCGGCACCCTGCACGTGCGCACGTGCAAAATGGGTCCCAACTGACTTGTGCATGGCACCCTACTAACCGGTCCCTAACCATGTACCAAATTTGAGCGCAATCGGTCCAGCCATTCCCGAGATCTGGAAACGACCCCTGCACGTGCGCACGTGCAGCAGCACCCCAACTCTGGCACATGTATATGCAGTGCCTAGTGGGTGCCTACCTACATGCCAACTTTCAGCGCAATCGGCCAAGTAGTTACCGAGATATTGCAACAATTACAAAAGTGACACCTCTTCGTTTTGCACGTGGCACGTGCATAAGGGGTCACCCACATGCATCGGGAATAGTCCAATACTTGGTAGAAGGAATGAAGCTACCCTACAAAAATTACCGCGTGTAAATCGGTCAAGTGGTTGCTGAGATATAAGCCTCGCAAAAGCGTGACCACGGCCGGCCGGCCGGCCGGCCGCTCATACTCAGAAATTTCCGTTAATCTAAGGAAAGACTACGCTCGCTTCGCTCGCTCCGTAATTATTGTTTGTGTCCGCGCTAATGGTCAACAAGTGCACAATTTTGCACTATCATACCAGTATAACGCCTTTTGGGGCGACTAACGGAGCGAGCGAGAGGGTGGGCCTTGCACGTGCGAAATTGCGAGGGGGTACCTCCAACTGACTTGTGCACGGCACCCTACTAACTGGTCTCTAGCGATGTGCCAAATTTGGGCACAATCGGCCCAGCCGTTCTCGAGATCTGGAAGCGGCACCCTGCACGTGCGCACGTGCAAAATGGGTCCCAACTGACTTGTGCACGGCACCCTACTAACCGGTCCCTAACCGTGTACCAAACTTGAGCGCAATCGGTCCAGCCGTTCCCGAGATCTGGAAACGACCCCTGCACGTGCGCACGTGCAGCAGCACCCCAACTCTGGCACATGTATATGCAGTGCCTAGTGGGTGCCTACCTACATGCCAACTTTCAGCGCAATCGGCCAAGTAGTTACTGAGATATTGCAACAATTACAAAACTGACACCTCTTCGTTTTGCACGTGGCACGTGCATAAGGGGTCACCCACATGCATCGGGAATAGTCCAATACTTGGTAGAAGGAATGAAGCTACCCTACAAAAATTACCGCGTGTAAATCGGTCAAGTGGTTGCTGAGATATAAGCCTCGCAAAAGCGTGACCACGGCCGGCCGGCCGGCCGGCCGGCCGGCCGGCCGCTCATACTCAGAAATTTCCGTTAATCTAAGGAAAGACTCCGCTCGCTTCGCTCGCTCCGTAATCACCTATGCTCTACGCTCCATTCCTGAATGTGCACCATGGCCTGGTCTGATGCCTGCCTCGCTGCCGTCCCACACCTATGCCACATGGCGTCTGTAGCATTTCTTGCATTGTAAATCCACCATGAGAGAACCAGCAGAGAAGTATGCAGTGTATTATAGGTACCTTTTGCATAACAGCCACCTTTTCCTCGGCTTGTGCTGCGATGTCACAGAGTCGCTGGCTGGGTAAAAATGGCTACTATTTGAATTTGATGTGCTGATGCTCAGAAGACATTGAGTTGAGTGCTAGCGCCCTATGCTCAGTTGCAGTTCCTTCTGCGATGGTGCAGCGCTCCGTAGTCCGCAGGTATGTCCAACGATAAAGTCAACCGACAAGTGCACTGGCTGATTTTTTTTTCTCCGGCTAGGCCCAGTAGACTTCCGGTCAACATTGTTCTAGTATTTTCTTTTTCTCGTCTATATCGGCGGTCCCATGGCCTTTAGCGTCAGGTAGATTTGTCATTTAATTGTAGCCTCTCATCTATACCTTTTAGCCATTTTCAGTCCTAAGTAATAGCTAACGTAGAAAAGATGGTTATTAATAGTCCAATGTCCATTTTGGACGAGTGAGGGAATCATTCCCCAACAAATTTTGCCTCTTTTTATCGCTGTACGTTTTCATGTAAATCGCAATGTTGGACAGTATTGTCGATACAAATTCATCTATGTATGAGTCATCGCACAAGAACGGATTTTTTCGCTGGCCTATGACTCACTGTAATAACACAGGAATATCTGAGATTAAGCTAAGCCTCTTTTTGTCAGGGAGATTCCCCACAACGCTGTCAAACCATGTATTTAAATATCAGAAGTTACGTAATCCAGCTTCTGCAGAAAAGCTACCTCGTTCTGTGTCGTCATTGGCTGACCACAAGCACCTGCGGGCAGCAATTTTACATAACAGGAACCGGGATGGTCTGCCTTCCATCCTAATCAAGGCCGTGGTATTTACGCTGCTCGCTGGCACAACTGAGCTCCAGAAAAACGGCCACCGCCGTATTACGCGGTGTGCTGATGGAAGGACAGAAGGCGCTGCTCTTCTGCGGAGGATCGGTCCGGGGACCGCAGCTTTGGGATGACTCGCAGTGTGGGGCCAGCGGCGGGGAGCGACGGGGAGGGATGGGGTGGTGGCCGGGGTCGTGAAGGACAACGGTGCGGGGCGGCGGGACAGGATGAGGCATTGTGTGACATCTGCAAAATGATGAAGGCAGCAGCTGCTTTTGACGCTAAGATTGGGTCAAGGTGGAGCATGCCCGGAAGTCGGCAGAAAACTGATCACTGCTTCAAGGCCCACTCAGTCCACGATAAACAGCTACATCGTACACGTGTTTTCATATCATGGAGACTCGAGTGAAAATCGTCTGGAGAAATCCTTACAGCACAGACCCGTCTGGGTAATACAGGTATAATCCCACCTTCCAACAACCAGAACACTGGCCCTGAAGTATGAAATTCCACGAGTGTACGAACATCTTTAATGCTTGAGCTAATTCTCAAACCTTTTTGCAGCCGATAATGATTGAAGACACGCTGGAATGATCACTGATCAGGTGTTCGGGTTTTCCAAGATACCATAAGTGATAGGCAGGGAGAGTTCGACTTGCACGATCTACAATCGCAACGCCACGCCGATCGTGCTATCAGAGTACCGATTAAGTGGTCTACCAGCTTCTCTGTAGCACCCCTGCTATCATCTCAGTTGCTCACGTTTTCCTGCCTGATCCATCGCCCATCGCAGGTTGTAACTTTACAAGGTCAGGGGAGCTACAGTTGGTCAGAACTAAGCCCACCAAACAGATGAACGGATGAGATAAACTCGAGTGCGGAATTGAAAAGAAATGGGTCCTCAGATCGAGCTGCTGCCTGCTGGTTAGCTGATAACATCAAACACATACTTATGTGACCACTGACAAACAATTCTTGATGCAGCATATGGGGAAATTTTTGGTCACAACGTCGAATTAGCCATCCTGTGAGCTGTCGATAAGATGCTGGTCGATGTGTTTTTGGCTTATGTAGGCATTACACTGCAAAAAGTATGGTATTTGATATAAAAGGAGTGTTATCTCCTCTACTTGAGGGTACGTTCTGATTTCCCCCCACAATGTTTTTAGTGGAAAGGTGATTAAAGGAAAGCCCAATATTTTCATTGCCGTACTTTTGTGTAGGCGTTTCTAGTCTCTCGCTTGTTCGAAAGGTATTTGGAGAACATAACGGAAAAACCGAGCATCGTCCCACCCCCTGCAAGTGCGACATTTCTCTTCGTGTATTTGTGCAGGGGTGTGCTATGTTATGTAATTTGTCTCTGCTAGATTACATAATGCTGCCATTGCTGTGGTTGTTATTCGATGATGCGGAGCCGGATATGAAGAGACAGAGATTACAAAGAAATACGCTCTATATTAGTACCACGTAAACACATTTCAGGTAATTATCGCTATCACACGTTTGTCTTTCGATTCCCATTCTCCGCCGACAACTGGAAGTGATAAGCATCCGTTTGTTACGCAATAAGACGCTGCTACCCATAAACACAGGCTACATTTCCCGAAAATTCATCTGAATCACACACGTAAGATGACGTTTCAGGCGAGCTCTCAGGAAATCCAAAAGCTGGTTCTGTGACGCAATACGGGATCTCGCCCACATTAACAGCAACTATCACTTCTATCGTTACTTTTTCATCTTTCGTATAAAAAAGCTGCGCTGACGTATGCATTGTTATGATCCAGCAGAACAACTCGTCAACAACGCAGTTTCTATCTCCAATTAGACATTCGTCATTGTTACAATAGGTACGTCATTGTGCGTAGAAAAACAAGTTGAGCGCGTTATTACGTCATAGGCGCAAGACACTACGACCGGTGACTAAGACCTATGTTACTCGGCTACAACCGCACCACGCAAGAACAAGAATCGGATATCCATACCAAGACCCAGCATTAGCCTTCCCCATAAGACGATCATCATTTCAGTATCGCGATTCCGCTGACATGCAGAATGACATGAATTTAAATTCTGCACATGCACCTGCAGCCAATATGCAAAAATCTGCCGTCAAGGTTCAAGGACTTAGGCACAAGCACTTCAACCAGCTCTGCACGCCGCTCCTGATCACATAAGATGTCTGCGTGTAGCGGTGCACTGACATTGGCTCAGCGGACGCGCCCTGCGGGCTACACGTCCATCAGTGCCGGCGCACGGCCAGGAACGGGTGTTTGCTGTCGCTAACTCGACGCAGCGCGTCCGTTATGGCACCAACACGCGGCGATTTATTTTACACCGATTGAATACACTTTGCATACGTTCACAGGTGGACGGTACATGTTGTTTATGTAAAATATTTGATGTCAAAAGCCAGTTAAATATTTCATTCCAAACTGGCGTCCTCTGAATTGGTTACGCGGTCTGGACTGACAGCCGGCAGACATGTGTTCACTATAACGGCACGACAGCGGAGTGTGATGATGCCCCGTACCGAAAAATAACTCTCTTTTTGTCGAAAGGGAGGGAAACAAACGCGTGCCCGGCGCTAAACCGTTCCTGCCATGGATCTGACACTGGACAGTCCTACATTCGCCGGGCAAAGTGGCGAACAAGGCGCTGTCTTCCATTGAGTCTCGACTTTCGATGCAGAAATAGGTGCTTACATCACGAGTCCTAGCGTCCCGATTATTTTCGTGAGTGGTCCTTGAAAATTATTTTTTTTTTAAAGAAACGTTCCTGTTACACACAAGACTTACGAAGCTAAGGTTTGCCCAACTCCAAACGCATAAATACATATCACAGCAAAAGTTATTGACTTCGCGGCGCCTTGGCCTCACCTTGCTATGCATTTGATTTAATCATAGCTAGCTTTATAAAATAATGGTCATTTAGGATTTTGACAAAAATTCATGTGTAACTTTCTATGATTTTTCATAAAAAAGTCCTTCACAAAAATAAGAATGATTTTTTTTTGCCACGTCTTACCTTGGTTTAAACCAATATAGACGGAGACATGTGCTCCATCTGCTTGTCAACTTTTATTCTTAAGCTAATTATTAGTATTATTTGTTATAGTGATGTTATTTGTTTGTTGTTGATTACAATTTCGCAGTAAGAACATACTAATTAGTGAATGCTGTTTGAAGTGTTTTTCGCACATTTTCTTGCTTCCATTCTAAATTTTGCCTTGTGTGTTTTAAAATAAGTGGCACTATTTTCTCTACAATTGAAACTAATCGTCTTGTTAACAAATAGCCGACGGCATTAAAACGTCTCACAACCCAACCCAACACATTCAGACATCTACAAAGAAACCACCGTCCCTCCTGCGTCTCCGCTGGCGATCGATCAGCCGTCCTTCAGCGCTTCCTGACCGCGGCTGCCCCCTCTCACACTGGCCCTGGACAGCGGGTGCAGTCGGCCGACCACTCCGCTCTGTTTCTCCTCCTGACCCCACCCTGGTCCCCCGACCACATTCCAGCGTCCTGCGACCCCACCCTGGTCCTCCGACCTCATCCCGGCGTCCTCCGACCTCATCCCGTCACCCTGCGCCGCGCCGGCACCCTCAGCGGCTCATCTCGAGCGTGCGGTGGACGCGCACCGTCTCGCGCGTGGTGGTGGATCCGTCGACGTTGGTGCGCGTCTCGGTGGTGCGCGTGGTGGTGCCGTTGGTGCGCGGCGACAGGCCGCGGTCCACCCAGCGGCACGTGACGCCCTCGGGGGTGACGCGCACCACCTCTCCGCCGCGCAGCACCTTGTCGGTCGGCTTCACGGCCGACGTCTGCAGCGCGACGCTCCGGTCCGGGGTGCCGACGCCCACCCCAGGCTTGAACGAGCCCACGTACGGCGAGTGCTTCATGCCGAACGCGTACTGCGGGTCGCGGGACTTGAGTTTCTGTGGAGAAGACAGTGAAGGTCAGGTGCAAGAAGTTGAACTCGCCGGCAGCTCGCTGAATGGCACAGTCACGAACCTCAGTTGTGCTCTTCCTGTGTCATTCCCACTCTCGAACTTCCAATTAAACGACCGAGTAACTGCCAGTACCTTACCGTCCAGCGACCTCCCTCAACTTTCCACATCATCCACGAATATCTCGCTATTCTCCGCTCCCTCCCTCAACATCCCCACATCCTCCCCGAGGCCCTCGCTTCTCCCTTCCCACCTTGTCGTCGGCGTTGTAGGCGTTCGGCGCAGGCTTCTGCGTGCGGTCGGTGGGGATCGTTGTGCGGTCCCGCAGCGTGTACGCCGGACTCTTGTGCAGCGTGGCCTCGGCCTTGGCCATCTCGTACTGGCCGGGTGCCGGGAACTTGGTGCGCTCGTCGACGACGTCCTTCCCGCGACCGGGCATCGAGTAGCGGGGCGACTCCTCGCCGATCGTGTCGTTGAGCTCGTAGGCGTTGGGGGCTGCCGGCGTGAAGTGAGGTCAGATAGGTAGGGAAGGTGAGGCTGGTGGAGTGCACAACTTGGTAATGTCTTATTTTTGTGTTTGTTTTGTTAGTTCAGGCCCTTTCAATGGGTGTCTTTTGAGGACGGTATGATGAGAGGAGAAAGGAGAGGTGTAGAGCTGATTGGACCATGGCCGCAGAGGCTGATCCCATCCTGTTCTGTTAGAACAGGTGTGTTACGGTAGAGCAGTTCACCCGGCGGCTCCGAGCAACGGTCACCCAAGAGAAACAAGCTCTTGCTCCTTATTGAAGCTACTGTCCCCGTTTGTCAGGACGGGCAAGCGTCAACCCCAAACGAACAAGTGTGATGAATGGCGACGAAGGACGACAATGGATTTTGCCTCTCCAACTGACCTGGGACATTGTTCGGTTTCTCAAGGTTGGGCTTGAGCCCAAAACTATAGCGAGGGCCGTCTTCGTCATCCTTAGGATCGTATGCGCCGGGTGCGGGTGTCTTGAATGCCTTGGGGTCCTTTGCGCGTCCCGGCATCGAGTACCGAGGGGAGTCTTTGCCGATTTCGTCATCAATTTCGTAGGCATTTGGCGCTGAAAGTATACAGGATTGAATAATAATGGATACTGAAGCTCTGTTTCACCAACCAGCGTTGCAGTTGTTTTGCAGTGATGCTTCTTTTTTGCTATATACAGTAACTTTAAAATTGTTGTGGTTCATACGTATTCGAGACTCGAGTTAAATTATGTTGACTGTGAAGGAGAACAAAAACAAAATGGTAAATATTTTTATGAATTTGGTAAAAGGCAAAATGCGTGCTACGCTAATTATGACCGTAATAGAACCTGTCTTCAGCGTCAGTTTTTAGCGTCATTTCTTTTCCTTTTTAGTTCCCATAATTGCAATGCCCTTCCAACTGCCACATGAGGAAAGCGAAATTTGAACCAACGACACTAAAGTGTCCCATGCCTGTGTAAATTAACCCCACTGACCTGGGACATTGTTGGGCTTCTCAAGGTTGGGCTTGAGCCCAAAACTATAGCGTGGGCCGTCTTCGTCATCCTTGGGATCGTATGCGCCGGGTGCGGGTGTCTTGAATGCCTTGGGGTCCTTTGCGCGTCCCGGCATCGAGTACCGGGGGGAGTCTTTGCCGATCTCGTCATCAATTTCGTAGGCATTGGGCGCTGAAAGTACATAGGATTGAATTGGAGCTCTGTTTAACCTAACCAGCGTTGCAGCTGTTTTGCAGTGATGCTACTTTTTTTTGCTATTTATAATAACTTTAAAATTGTTGAGTTGAATTATGTTCACTGTGAAAAATAAAACAAAAAAGGAAAATATTTCTTTATGAATTTGGTAAAAGGCAAAAGCCGTGCTACGCTCATTATGACTGTTCATCAAACATGTCTTCAGCGTCAGTTTTCATCGTCATTTCTTTTCATGGCTGGTTCTCATAATTGCAATGCCCTTACTACTGCACGTGAGTACATCTAAATTAGAAACAGAGACAATAAAAATGTTTGCTCTCTACTAAAAAACACTAACCTGGGACATTGTTGGGCTTTTCTAGGTTAGGCTTGAGTCCAAAACTATAGCGAGGGCCGTCTTCGTCATCCTTGGGATCGTATGCGCCGGGTGCGGGTGTCTTGAATGCCTTGGGATCCTTTGCGCGTCCCGACATCGAGTACCGGGGGGAGTCTTTGCCGATCTCGTCATCAATCTCGTAGGCATTCGGAGCTGTGGATAAGTGACATGGAAGCTGACTTTGTGTAATATTAGGTTGTAACGATATATCTATTCTGTTTTTCTCATCAACGGGCAGTGATCTTAATTATTTTGTGCTTTTATGACATGTGCTCCCATCCCGTCGCCATCAAATATTTCAGAGTGGGAGCCATTTCTGCATAACAATCATGAGTTGTCGCGTTTTCCCATCGCCCGTTGAACGGGAGATAATGCCGAAAGATAAACCTGCTGTAAATCCCTCATGCATTGAAGTTTGCATGGTCGAGGTGCATTTGTTCAATTATACGACACTCGAATTGCAAGTGTCTGAAAAGCTGCCCTACGCGTGCGTGCATGCTCTGAATAATAACCACAGTTGTGAGCTAACCTGGAACGTTGTTGGGTTTCTCCAGGTTGGGCTTCAGTCCAAAACTGTAGTGAGGGCCGTCTTCGTCCTCCTTGGGATCGTATGCGCAGGGGGCAGGCGTTTTGAACGCCTTGGGGTCCTTTGCGCGTCCCGGCATCGAGTACCGGGGAGAGTCTTTGCCGATCTCGCCATCAATCTCGTAGGCATTTGGCGCTGAGAAACGAAACGATTAACGTCAGATGCGTTCCGTTAGCGAGTACGGGAGAAGCGGATCGACCGCATCGAGTGCGTAATTCTGGTTAATGTAGTCATTTGGTTTTAGTCGCACGCTTTTAGCGCGGCTAATAACCGTCTGCGTAAGGTCGTGAAACGCCGTGCGAGGTGAAGGTCCCAGACAGAAGGCTCCAGGAGACCCGACTGGGGGTCAACGCTCGACATCGCCTTCCTGGTTTGGCAATGGAGAGAGCTGGAGGCAACGTTTGGCAACGTTTGAGCTGGAGGGACAATCGTCAATTGGGACAAACTGCTAGGGGTTCTGTGTGAGAGGCTGTTTTATCAGCAGACTTGTCAAGTAATATTGTGTTTGATTTTTATCCTCCACAGGATTTGTCTGTTTAGTTCTTTATCTTATTCTTCACAGCTCGTACCCATTTATAGCCAACAGCCTCGAATAAGTCTTCGATTACGAATTCATCTGTTCTTGATTCCTCTGTGTTCTGATTGCCGATTACTGAGTTATCTTTTGCTGCTGTGCTGTGCTCCCTTAATTTCTGATTGGTGTTTCGAACTTTCGTTGTCATTGGACATGCCCATGCGCAGCCAAGCGATCTCACTTCAGAACGGACATTGCACATTATTTCAAATTTCAACGGTTTGAAGTTTGAACTCTACACTGCACCAGAAGATTTATGAACACACGACACTCTGTTCCTGTCTCTTAGAACCTGGCTATTCACAATTTTTCCCACCTCTCTGCCGTGCACGGGAAAAGTAAATCGGCTGCGAACGTTAAAATCTGCATTATGAAATATTTTGCAGCCCTCAAAATGCGGCTAGACATTCATTTTTGGACATGTTATCCACTTATTTTTGCTTTACAGGCAACTGACCTGGCACGCCATCAGGTTTCTCCAGGTTCGGTCTCAGTCCGAAACTATAGCGAGGGCCGTCTTCGTCATCCTTAGGATCGTATGCGCCGGGTGCGGGCGTCTTGAATGTCTTGGGGTCGCTCGCACGTCCCGGCATCGAGTACCGGGGAGAATCTTTGCCGATCTCGTCATCAATTTCGTAGGCATTCGGCGCTGAGGGATGAGCCAAGGTCAGGGGCGCGCTGGCCTGCGCGGCCGAGAGGACCGGCCCGATCGCGCGGAGCGGTCGATGTTCCCAGTAGCCAGTACGGGTCACGGTCACATACAGTGGGCCTGTCCCGCCCAGTACCTCACGGCGGTACACGGAGCTCACTACAGACTGCTGGAAACCGACCCCATACATGGTGCCAGGGTGGTGACGACTCAGTTGCTGGAATTAACTGCTGATTTGGGTTTATTGGTCTCGTTAGTTTCAGCCTCGCCCGCAGTGGTTACCGCGGGTTAGGTCTGATTACATAGTTGGAACAGTGTAGTGTGAATAGCACGGGATGAGTGGCTTGGCTGCCGTGTGAAACAGCACACTACACCCACTGTTTCATGCATGTGTGATTTACCGAGTTGCAAGTATCTATAATTACGTCAGCCTCGTGGTACATACCCATCGACTCCAGCAATGAGCTCGTTTTATATGGGTCTCCTGACTCACTGCTTTTGGAGTCCTCAGACTGCTTTTGGAGTCCTCAGCCTTTTGAGTCCTGACCAACTCGGGGCAAAAATCCGCACGCTACCATAAACGGAATGGATTATCTCGGATTACAAAAGATAACTGACATAACTCATTGAACAACGCCGTTCCCTCCAAGCCTTATGTAACATTTACGTAACAGGAATATTTTTACAGATGTATTTTCTGATAAAATCGTTCCTTTTTCATTCCCCTCGCTTTGTACCTAGCCTTAATAGATCACCTAAATCGTGCTTAACATGAAGCTACGAATAAATGACTGGCTGGAAGAAGTAACTTTGATGAAAAACGTCAACGGCGACCGTAAACATGCGATTTGCTTTGACGGTACATACAATAAAGGCAGCTTAAGGAAATGTGGCAGAGCAAGTGCTACATATTGCATCCTGATATTATTGACAGAAGCATATTTTAAAAGCTTGGGCCATTTTGACACTCTGAAATATTTTATCACCATTTTGCCTTGAACTGTCATACAACCTTCACAAAATCGTAACTTCGATTAAATCCTCATTTCAATAATGACAATTTATCAAATCGATCATAAGAATATCGAACGGGTGGTTTCGAGCCTGTTTCCAGTCTTCCCCGATATGTCCTTGTTGCTGTGTGCACATTCATGTCAAATTGGGCAACTGGGCTGCGATCATTGTTCACCGGCTGTCGGCGCCGCGCCGCGAAACAATGTCGATTGAGATACGGTCGGTAAAGCCGAACGAGGTCAGCGCGCGGTGGCGTTTTCCTCTGTCGACTGGTCACAGATCGTGGACGGAGAGAGAGTGGGGGAGGAGGGCAGGAGGGGGTAGCGTAGACTCAGGCTGGTCATAGCTATGAAAGGGAGGGGGCAGACCTAAGTAGGCTGATTGGGATACTCAAGTTCTGGCTGTTCACAGTTCTTAGCGGGTAGCACATGCATACGCACTGCGAGCGCGGGCCGGCCTCAGTTCTGTCTTGGGATGTTAGCGGGGATGTGAAGGGAGGCAGTCGCAGACCCACCTGGCACCGTGTTGGGCTTCTCCAGGTTGGGCCGCAGCCCGAAGCTGTAGCGAGGCGAGTCGTCCTCATCCTTGGGCTCGTAGGTGCCCGGCGCCGGCGTCTGGAACGCCTTGGGGTCGCGGATTTTGGCGGCGATGGTGCGTGCCGGAGCCGTGTCCTTTCCTGCGCGGGGAGTCGGGGGTCGGTCAGTCACCCTCCCGACCGCCGCTGTTGTCGAGCACTCAGCGATAGATCATAGCGAGCGTGGGATGTCGCTGCGAATATAGCACAACCGTTTGGAATAGATGGCCATTAGCTTTACTATTCGAAGCTAACGTGAAGTCCAACATTCGAGGATATTCTACGACTACTCTGGTCAAATTTTGACCCATTGGACCAACTGGATTGCCATTCGAATGAACTATTGTAACATGGTCTTCATATCAATCTTTTGAAATATTTTACTGTGGAAAGCGTTGTCGGTAATTTATCGTACATGTGGCAGTGTCCAGTGGAATATTTCATCTCTACTGTGACCCTGACGAGCCACGGCTCCTCCGACATCGGTCAGATGACTGTTGACTCTGGAACAATGTCTGCCTGAGCTCGGGGAAGTGCTGAGCACCGGCTGATCGTGAGCAGATTTTGAGCCGGTTTTCCCAGCTCTCCGAGCTGAACACGACACCTGCTTACGTGGCATTACATCGAGAGAGACACAGCGAGACAGAGACATGGAGACAAAGGGTCACCGAGACACACCGGCAGAGCCTGTCAGACACCAGAGAGAACCAGAAAATGCCTTATCTGGCGGGCTGCACCGCCGCCTGCTGTAACATTGGACCAGAGTTGGGACATACACACTACACAGTTCGACGCGTCACAATGAGAGATCAGTTCGGAAGAACTGGTTTTCAAAACGCTGCATCGGAACAAAGCAATTCTTAGAAGAGTGAGAAAGGCCGGTGATTGTGTCGTTAGAGACAGACGTGTATATTCTTGCTTTAAAGTTTCGTTATTCCAGGGAAATCGTCTATACATATTGCATTGAGAAGTATGCTGCTTACTTTTCTGTTTGAGGTTGAAAATAGAGTTGCAAAGTTTTCCCCAAAGGCTGCTACCGGCACCGCCCCGCCCCACAAAAATTTTCTGGGATACCGGCATGCTACCACGCCCCAAGCAAAAAAAACCGCCAAATTACCGGCATACTAAAAACCTGCATTCTTGATTCTAGCTTACCCCTACAAGAGGTGCCACGTTTTTGCAATTTCATTACCCGTCCGGCGTCCCAGCCAGCAGCCATCCATTGTCCAACCACAACTACCAACAGGCTGATTTTGTTCAACCCAACTACCAGTGGGGCCAACTAGTTATATTCTATATAACCAAGCCTGTGAAATGTTAAGGTCCATGTATTACCCCTACCATTAGCAATGGAACTTCTACAACAAAATGTATCTTGCAGTGGCTAATAGGAATTCTGTTACTACAATTTGAGAGCCTCTTAGTGTTCAAGGTTTGAATCATATGCTAATAATTTATTTTTTTTTGCACAAAATCAAAAATACCGGCATGCTACCGGCAAGACATGCCAGATACCACGAAAAAACCTGCGGTAGTGAAAAATTACCGGCATGCCGGTAGTGCGGTAGGGAAATTTTGCAACTCTAGTTGAAAATGAGGCACCAAATGCTATCAAATTGATAGCATTTGGAGTAGACCCCTGCCAGGTGCCCAGTGATTCAATAATATTTGTTATTTTTATTCATGTTTGTTTCTCCGGTACGGAGCAGAAACACAGCCCCACCCATCAGCAGCCTGGCGGCACGGCGCCACTGACCTTTGTAGGTCATCTGTCTGGTGTTGTACTCGTTGGGCGCCGGCACCACCTTCTTCACCTTCACCTCGTGCCTGTTGGCCATCGAGTAGGCCGGCGTCTCCTTGCCTGCACACCGCTGAAACAGGAGGAGTACGTCCTCAGTGGGCGCCGGATGCTGTGCGATCAGCCTAGCAGAACAGGTGTTGTGAATGTTACACATCCTGAAAATATGTGATTTATACGTGATTTTTTTTACGGGAAGTTGTGAAGCACATATGATATTTCAAAAATTAATACTTCCGTTGCGGAAGCTGAGGCCACGGATGATATGGAATTAGGATCAAAATGCTGATAACAAAATGCAAACAACGGCGCTTTTTAGGAGGATCATGAGCTTCAACATATCAAGCAAGTCATCCTTATAGCGAATACATACACAGGGAACCACTCACGGGATAAAGCAAATATAAATGTGTTGGCGTTTGGTGAGGCGCCAGTTTGAATTCCCCCGTTTCCAGCTAACACGGATGTTTGGATATTTGTCGAGCCTTGAGCTTCCACGAGCCAAGCCTCAGCGATGGTGTCGGAATATCCATGTAACAATTAGCATATCGCATAAGCTAGGCAATAGGCATGTATTATCTGACTTCAAAGCCGTGCTTTTATCTAATTTCTTATCAGTCGTTTTGTCCTCAAGCTATATTTATGTACATTTTATATCGTTTGGTTGCCTTAGTCAAGGAGGAAATGCTTCGTTCCTTTGACAGATCAATACAGGTTAGCTGAATGCTAAGCGTCACTAAGCCGGCCTCCTTACTCTCCTTGTTCGAAGCAGTTGCTCTAAATGCTCATAGATTTAACAAATCTCATCCATTTAATTCGTTGGTCTTGATTTTCATGTTAGAGGCCATGGGTTGCTCTTACTTGCCGAATTCTTAATTGGAATAGGTAGGTACTCACTACTCTTATTTTTTTTTTTCAGTCCATTGAGCTGGTGTGCCAGAACAAGACAAACGCTTACGCCACGGATTGCGACCGATCGGCGATGGCCCGGTGTCGGGTTTCTTGCGGTGCGATATTTGCGTTGCGCGTGCTCTATCAAGGCCTTCATGTGCGTCACCTACAGACCCACCGCCGCACAAACCCGTGCGGTCTTCAGTTTCACGTCACTGCTCTGGCAGCTCACTGTAGAAGCCCGCACAACTGACATTGATCTTGTCCACTCGCCTGACCTTGCTGCCATTGTTGTGACGGCTTTGTCCATACGGTATCAGTATCCGCACCGGTTCCCCCGGTGTGTGGTGGATGTGCGGGCGGGCCGCCACCCACCGCCGTTCAGCTGCGTTGTTTGTTACCTCCACGGTCCGGCGGCCGAGGTAAACAGGCGGCGCGGCCGGCGGCCGGGCGGTGCGCACCGCGCCCCGGGCACCGCCACCGCGAGCCGCGCGCTCCCGAGAGCGATGACGGAACGCGATCCTCGCGGGATTTCCGCGCGCGGCGGATCGCGTTACGCAAGAGCAGCTGGCGCTCGGACGGCAGATGACGGGTGCCCGCTGCGTCACAGATGCGTGTCCGTGTGTGTGTGTGTCCGGGAGGAGGCGGGCTCATGGGTGAAACAACGGGTCACTGGCGCCACGTCCACCAGAGAGGCGGCCGGCCGGCGCAGCGGTCAACGGTCGCTAGAGTGCACTGAAAACTTTTTTACCATTTCCTGAAGGGTAAACCCGCCATAGCATGGTAGCTTGACACACAGACGTTTTTTACCACCTTCCAGATGGTAAATTTTACTCTTTCATGAAGAGTAAACTCGCCAGGGAGGGGTAACATGACACACAGACGTTTTTTACCATCTTCTGAATGGTAAAGTCTTTTGATTTACTCTTGTCTAGAGTGTAACATTTTTTGGGTTACACTCTTTGAAAGGGTAAATCTTTAACGGAACCCTTTTTTAGGGAGTAACGCATCATCTACTCTGTGCTTTACCCTCCTACAGAGAGTATATTCTTATGGCCTATCCTTTGTCACATGGTAATGTTTACTCTTTATTTTAGTGTAAACCCCCCAGAGGATGGTAACAGACCCACAGACGCTTCCTTCAGAAGCTTCTCGAAGTTTCTGTTAACCGGAGCTCACCAACTAAAAAAAATGTTTCAAGAGCAACAATGTAGGTATATTTGGCTTCCGTACAAACAATACGAGGGGCACACCAACCATGAACATTGTGAGACTCTTCACTTATTCATACAAATTTATAGAAAGCGTTCAGCAATGCACAAGCGGTAAATAAACACCACGATACAACTTGAATGCAATTTGAATATGAATACAAGACATTCAGCGCCCTCATATTGGATGAGGCAGAGCGCACAATATTTGAAGTGAGCGACGGCGTTCCTGGGTGGTCGCCCGTCTGCGTGAGATAATGAGACTGGATCACTACAGTGCAAGGCTTTTTCAAAGTCACCAACAAAATGCATAAACTTGTAGCATCACAACAAAATTAATGTACGTACTCACAACACTAGGCCACGTGGCCGTGCACGGGGTCCTGTTAACCAGGTCAAATTAGCACCACTCAACGGCACGCAATGCTCTAGCACATCGGTACTTACAATAAAATGTCCACAGAGGCTCTATAGGCGATGAACAACACACAAGCACAATCACCAACGGCCACGCCGCGCGGCACCGACACTGCTCACATCCGCTCTCGGAGACCAACGGCCGAAAACTGACAGATGCGCGCGGCCTTCAAACCGCAAACGGCCGATCTCGTTTCTGATTGGCTGATTGTTTCCATTTCAAATATCATCTTCACGAGGGTAAACAAGATCTACGCATGGAACGACTATCTGTACCCGAGTCACGATACCCAGGAGGAAAGAGTTTTCGTGATGTTCTGGATCGCGAGAGTAATATTAATATTTACATGGTAATAATACTCTTCGCTGGCGAATAAGTTCATATCAACCACGTACCGTTACTATGCACATAATGGTAGCAGCGAGTTACCCTTTCAATATACTATTATCTTGCGGGTTTGATGAAAATGAACTCTCCAGGAGGTAGTAAAAAAGTTTTGAGTGTGACACAAGGAACAGTCATGGGTCACCGGATCACCGACCAAGGTGCTGAAGGTGACGGTCACTGCCGATCACTGGCCACTTTGCTGAGCGATTTAGCTCGAATGCCTCACAAAATCTCGAGAGGCCATCAACGTATGAAATATGCAATTCGTAAGGATTTTGTAATTACACGGGTAAAGATAACACATGAAGCCGCTTAAACGATTATTTCTTAACTGAAATATTTTAATTCCACTTTTGACAAATTTGGAGCACCTATTTGGTCTGTATACCTGTACGTCTAAAATTAACTTTTTAAAAACTTTAAACTGAAATACGCGATCTGCAGCGCCGCCGATAGGATACCTACTGTCTGCAGATTGATACACTTGGGATCCCATGACGTAAAGTCAGTATTCGCAATCCAAAGGATCACTTACCTATGAGAGGATGGAAATGTAAACTGTAAAGCTCGCTTGCTTTGCATGTAGGCAGTTACGTGGATATAAAATGAGAAGAGTAATTAGCATTCATTATCCTGGACAAGGTCGGCGTGTGGTATAAAATCGTGACCATAATTTCTCAACTCGGTTGCAGTGTGACGGTCTGAAAGATAACACTATCCGTGATGGTGGATGATACAAAATTGCAGTCTCCAGCGATAAAAGCGATTCTTTTCCGTTCAAATAGGCACATTTGAAGGCGAGTTTGGATAGAAAGAAGGATATGATACTCTCACACCAAGATGATTTTGTGTTTCTCCTAAACAAACCCGGACACACTAATTAACAAGTCTTCAGCTCTAAACCATGTGCTCTGCCTTCAAGCGTGGTCGTTAGGACTCAAATTATGACCTCCCGCTCTTCCTTATGACCTGCTCTGAGTGCGCGAGGGGTCTGGGTGGGTCGGGATTACCCGGGATAGGTGTGTTTGGATGCCGTCGTTCTGTGCAGGAGCGTACGGCGGGGTCGGGCGGGCGGCGGCGGCGGGCGCCCGCTCGGACCGGCCGTCGCCGCCGCCGCCGCCGCCGGCTCGCTCTCTGTATATAAGCGGCGGCGGCGCGGCAGAGGCGTCAGTGTGCGCTGAGCAGCGATCCCAGTCGGCTAGTGACAGCATCCTCATCATGCAGAGCCTGCGTCTCGTGCTTCTGTTGGGCGCCGCCGTGGCGCTCGTCTCCGGACAGCAGCTGCCCGTCAAGCTGGACGGTGAGTGACCTGGGGTCAGAGGGAGCGGGCACCGGCGGGGCACTGGCCTCCGGGCGGCGGCAGCCGCCATCGGTGGCGTCATTCAGTGGCTACTGGCTAGTGGCGAAAGTGGAAGCCTCAAGCCTGTTCCCGACCAGCAAGACCTTTAGTCGATGGCGAAAGTAACGCTTTTGTCGAAATGCAGCGCTGGGAAGCTGAATACCGATGATCGTCTTAAAGAAGTAAAGCGATGGTTTTCCATTAACTGAATCCAGGTTTTTAAGAATTTTGATTGCATTGATGGCTCATGGAATAGTTGTACGTGGTCAGGATGGGCACACAGTTTTTGACATTTTGATTTTATGAGATAGGTTTTCCAGCTGGCATTGTTACATGAAATAAAGCCTTCTTTGGTCGTTGAAGCCTTGATGAACATGTTCTCTTGCTTCATAGCAGTATGCAAGGATATGATGACAGTAAGATGTTAAAAAGATTCCTCATATACACTTTGCTTTGCTTTCTGATCAGTTCTACGTTTTTGCTGGGCTTGTTTGTATCAGTTATGCATCAAAAAGTGATGCAACACGATGCAGGATCCATAGGTGAATTCTGTCTGCTCGTCCTAACGACCATTTTCTCGTTTCCACAGCCTTCAAGAATCACCCGTGCTTCCGTCTGGTGGAGAAGGAGCGCGGCGGCGGCATCACTCAGACCCTATACCAGGAGTGCGGCCAGTCGGTGATCCACCTGTCCCCCGAGCTGCGCCGCCAGAAGGGCAAGTTCCTGCTCTACGCCTGCATCACCAACAAGCTCGGTCTGCTCAGCAACCGGCGCTTCCTCAACACCGACGCGCTGCGCTCCATCATCCAGCGCAGCAACAGCATCAGCGGCGGAGAGAAGTCCAACTACAACAACATCCTGAACCAGTGCGACAGCCGCGGCCGCGAGCTCATCATGTGCATGGACCTGGTGTGCCCGGGCCTGCTGAGCCCCGTCTCGGGCTAGGTGAATCGAGTCCCGGGTCGGCGGCGGCTCTGCAGACAGCGTGACCCGGTGCCGTCGCTCACAGCGACATGTCAATGAACCGGACGGTGACGCCGGCCGGGCGGGGGTCAGTCGGCCGGCCGGCCGAGCCGGTGACCCCGCGCCGGTCACCGCCGCGCCGGCCGGCCGGCACCGCTCTGCTATATCGGTCACGCTGCCGGGAGCCTCACCGTGGACGGTGCTGCTAGCTGGTCACATGTGAAAAATGTACAACTGATGTCGTGGCGCCATTGTTCATTGAAAGGTGGATGCAATCCAATGTCAAAGTGATCTTCAATTTGTGTCATACAAATATACCAATCTGACTGTGGCCTGTCTCTTCTTTGTCACACATGAATGCGTTTAGATCTTAATGATTTGATGGTTTATACGGTAAGGAATTTATCTTATTATTCATTTTTTTTTCATCGAAGATTTACGCAAATGCGCACGTAATAAGTTTTTGAAGGGAGAGTTAACATTTAAAATTGGTATGGAAATGTGAAACAGAAATTAAAGTTTAAACAATGGATGGCAACTGGGCGTGTTTATTGGACTACATGCCAAGGTATCATAGTCGATGGTTCTTCATAGTAGCAATGTGGCTACATTTATGTGGCATATTCAAGGGAACATCAGTGAAAATTTTGAATAGTTACTTTTTCGCATGAAACTTTTTGCTTGGTACTAAATTGTCATAACATATCTCAATGCGACTGCACCGTTCAGTGTGTGCCTCCAGCCATGCTTTTGTTCTTTCATGGGACATAATATCATTTCATGATGTATAAACGGTAAGGAAATGCATCAGGGCGTATTTTAACATGTTAACTGGGTCGGCAATTGCCGACCCAGTCAAGGAGAATGCCGACCCAGTGACAGCCGTTTGCCGACCCAGTTGCCGCCCCCTCTAGGATGCAGCACGCACATGCAGGCTAGGTGCCGTCATTCATAGTGAGGCTGCTGCCCTCCAAAATGATAATGCCGCCTCTTAAAGTGAACCAGCCGTCTATAGAAAGTGATCATCCCGCAACTCAATGTGACAGTGCCGCCCCTAAATCTGTTAGTAGCCCCACTCAATGTAGTGGTGCCGCCCTTCTAAGCATCTGTGGAGCCCCTCAATGTGATGATACCGCCCCTCAAGAAGATGATGCCGCCCCTTTCAGTATCGGTGGCGCCCCTCAATGTGATGGTGCCGCCCTCAAAGTGCCGGTGGCGCCCCTGAATGTGATGGTGCTGCCCGCCAACGAGTCGGTGGCGCCCCTTAAAATGATGCTGCCGCCCCTAATAGTGTCAGTGACGCCCTTCGAAGTGTCGGAGGAACCCACCAATATGATGGTGCCGCCCCTCTAGATATCCACATAGCCCCTCATTGTGATGGAGCCGCCCCTCAAGCAGATGATGCCGCCCCTGAATGTGATGGTGCTGCCCGCTAACGAGTCGATGGCGCCTCTCAAAATGATGCTGCCGCCCCTTAAGTGTTAGTGCCGCCCCTTATAGTGTCAGTGACGCTCTTCGAAGTGTCAGAGGAACCCACCAATGTAATGGTGCCGCCCCTCTAGGTATCCACATAGCCCCTCATTGTGATGGAGCTGCCCCTCAAGCAGATGATGCCGCCCCTCAAGAAGATGATGCCGCCCCTTTCAGTATCGGTGGCGCCCCTCAATGTGATGGTGCCTCCCTCAAAGTGCCAGTGGCGCCCCTAAATGTGATGGTGTCTCCTGTCAACGAGTCGGTGGCGCCCCTCAAAATGATGCTGCCGCCCCTAAAAGTGCTGGTGCCGCCCCTTACAGTGTCAGTGGCGCCCTTCAAAGTTTTGGAGGAACTCATCAGTCATCAATACAATGTTGCCGCCCTCTAACTTTCTGTAGCGCCCCTCCATATATATAATGGTGCCACTTCTCAAACCGTCCGTGGCGCCCCTCAAAGTGATGGTGCCGCCCCTTACAGTGTCGGTGGTTTCTCCTTAAAAGTCAAGGTGCCGCCTCTCAAAGAAATGCTGGTGTCCCTCGAAGTGTCGGAGGCGCTCCTCAATGATGTTGCCGCCCCTCAAACCTTCCGTAACGCCCCTCCACGCCATGGTGCCACCCCCCAATGTGCTCATGGCGCCCTTAAATGTGATAGTAACGCCGGTCAAAGTGCTCCTGGCAGTGTCGGTGGCGCCCCTTATAGTGTCGGTGGCGCCCCGAACAGTATCGGTGGTGCCCCTCAAAGTGATGATGTCACCCTCAAACAAACGGTGGCGCCCTTCGAAGTATCGGAGTCCCTAAATATCATACCTATTGCCACCCATTAACCATCTGTAGCGCCCCTCCATATGATGAAGCCGCTCCTTAAAGTATCCGCGGCGTTCCTTAAAGTTACAGTGCCGCCCCTTACAATGTGGGTGGCGTCCTCAAAATAAAAGTGATGTTGCCCCCCCCCCCCCCCGAGTAATGTTGGCGTCTCTTAGGATAAATGATAACAATAACACGTCAAATGTATATTTAAACACACAAAGCTTTCGGTATGAAAATACCTTGGTCACTGTGTTAACAGAAATGAGGACCTCATTTCTGTTAACACAGTGACCAAGGTATTTTCATACCGAAAGCTTTGTGTGTTTAAATATACATTTGACGTGTTATTGTTATCATTTATCCTAACTGTCTTGGATATTCTACATTTGGCGTCTCTTCTTTAAGTATCGGAGGCGCTCCTCATTGTCAACTGCTCACATGGCGCCCTTCAATGTAATGGTGCCACCCCTCAACGCTCAAAGAGAATAGAGATAATTGCGCTCCTCACAGTGTCGGTGGTGTCCCTCAAAGTGGTTTAAGTGCCCTAAAAAAAAATTGGTGGCGCCTCAAAATGATGCTGCCGTCCCTTAGCATATCTGCAGCGCCCCCAAAATGATAGTGCCTTCCCTTAACCGGCGCCGGGCTGAGGTTGTTTGAACCCCCCTCCCGACCCCTATAACTTGGCTACTTGGGCCACGTAGCGACACGCGGTAAGCGGCATTCGAAGGAGTGTCAAAACTACTTGGGCTAGTTGGTTAACCGTACTTTGGTTAGGTCAAGTCAAATGTCAAATATCAGGTGACCAGAGGTCATCAAAGGTGAAATGTGGGTGAAATGTTGTCTGTTTCAACATTTATTGACAAACTGGCGCATAACTCGGGGAAGAATAGAACTACAGCACCGCGAAAAAGCGCATTCGATAGCTCTTCAACGTTCCTATAAAGTCCTCAGACTTGACCTAACATCAACGACTTAACCTCCAGAGCACAACTTGTTTAACCCGTGTCGGGCCGGGGAGGGTTAAAGGGGACAGTGGACCCCCTCCGCCCCTCTACTGAGCTGTTTTAATGAAGAACCTTTTTACTTTAATAATTATTGACTCACGAAAGTTATGACATAGTTTTTTTCAGTACTGCGCTCCTCTCGTCGAGATGCGTCGAATGAACTATAATTTGACATTCAAATGTCATTTGGGAAATTTGAGCTCAGGTCCAGGTCATGACCTGACTGGTAAAGGTCATGTTGCATATCAGTCGATTTGTATCGTCAAACTGAAATCATCTAAGGTGTTTTCATCGCTCAGGCATATCGCATGTCTCTATCAAAAGTTATTGAAAAAAAAACCTGCTGGAGGCCTACCAATCCATGACCTGACATGACCTCAAGGACATAACGAGGGGTCGTGGGTGGCATTTTTCCGATTAAGTGTGTCATTTTTAATTGTTTTCTGATGTTTAAATTCGTTAGCTTTGACATTTGTCTACCTATAAAAAGAGGCACATGCCCCGACTTTCTCCCATTTCCTTATACCTAATGGAAGGGTCGCAAAATTGTCCTTACCTTTGGTCAAAGACATCGCAATTTCGAGACTTACATTTTATGTACTTACAGTGACACACTGTTTGTCTTATCAATCGCTGAAGTTATAAACGGATCGTTCAGTCGGTATATCTATGGTGAGCATTTGCCTGTTCCGTAGCTCAGTTGGTAGAGCACCGGACTCCCCGCTTGTCTCCGCTTGCGTTTTGTCCGCCGGCCGAGCCGGAGAGAAAGTTACCGAGTGAAGGTCATTCAAATTTCAAAAACTCAATGACAATGTCACTGGGGTCACCAAAATGTTTGAGTAGGTAGGTATAACATTCATTAACTGGGGGGGGGGGGATGAACTTATCTGTGCAATACGCTGTTCATTACTCGAGTAACTAATAAATAAAAAATGTATGAGTTCATCCTTACTCCACCCGCTCTCCCTCTCCATAAAAAGAGAGTTTAAATGTGTTGAATTTTATTTATACCTATGCAGAAAAATAGAGACGTCTAAGGATATGGCCGAATATCAGCGACCCTTGCTGTGTAAGCAATGAGGTATGACAAGTGGGGGTAATGGCCCCGTCCAGCACCCATAAAGTGGGCACCACTCGTGCGACCTGCTGACCACTGTTCTAGATAGAGCCATAAAACGCGTGAATGTTTTAAGCTTGACGATACGGATCGACTGGTATGCAACATGTTCTATTTCTGGTGAGGTCATGAACTTGACCTCAGGTAAATTTTTTTTTTTGTAAAATCAAATTATATTTCATTTATCGCATTATGATGAGAGAAAAACTATATCCCGGAAATACCGCTGAGCTTAGGTTAAATCTGAAATCATTACTTAGAAAGAGTTATAAAAGAACCGTCGAACGTGTCTTTTTTGGTCATTAAATATCAGTAGGTATGCCGCCCCCTCAGATGCCAAGTGCCGCCCCTATGAGTGCAAAATGCCGCCCCTAATTGTGATTGCCGACCCAGTGAAAATCCCTTAAAATACGCCCTGAAATGCATAAAGGGCATTATGGCATATAACCTTTCATGTAAATCTGTACAAGCCCACACAACAATCCACAAAGCAAAATGCTGAAGAATTGACAGTCAATAGCCTCGCCAACACGAAAACGACACATGCTTAGAAGTATGACTTACCATGAATAGTAGTCGAGCCGAGGAAGACAGCGCATATCCCAGCCACGAACGGTACATGAAACAGAACACAGAGGTTCATTGAGATACTGTGATTTGATCGTCACCGTCACATCAAACAAAGAACATAGGTCGGTAAATGGTGATATGGGGGACACTGCTTTTGGGGAAAAAAAGAAAATGCATCTTCTATAATGATAGCATAGGTGGCGGAACGGGGAGGGCACCGGGGCACCATGCCCCCTTTGATTTTGGCATTTTAACATTAGCCCTATGGGCGTTGCATGGAAAGAATGGGACCAAAAGTCGGCAGTGCCCCCCTTAATTGAAGGTGTTCCGCCGCTACTGAATGATAGGACGTATACCGTAGGACGCATACGATAGGACGTATACAATAGGAAGTATATGATAGGTATGTTATTGTGCAGCGTGGCTGCACAATAAAACGACATAAATAGTCATGGATGGGTGGAACGTGAACCATTTCAGCCATACATAAAGACCCATAGAGAATACATACCTGACTTTTCGGTGACGAAACAAAATAAGTGTAAGTGTTGAATAAGTGTGGGCTGCAGCTGTGGGCTGCGTTGCGTTTTTAATGATATCTTATCATTTTCTGTTAAAAACATGTAATTGTCTTTTTGCGAATAGTCAAATTTTGAGACCCATTTTTAGCGTTTTACTTACTCCATCATGGCTTTTTTCCTCGAGAAAGCAAACGAGTTTAAGTAGTTCTAAATATTCACTTATGTTTCGGTGAAGCTGGCAAATTTCCTAAAATGGAATGGAAGGTTCGCAAATAGCTACCTTGGACGGTTCCCCGTAGAGAACGGGGGGGGGGGGGCAACCACATGTTTTGCAGCAAGGTTCCATGAACCGAAAGCTTTGTGTGTCTTTTTGAATATATTTGAATGCATTTGTAATAATTTGGTAATTGGTTTATTATTTACATCATCATCCAACCTGTCATGGATACTCAAATACACAGTAGTGATTCACTCGAGTCTCTGCGACTCCAGCGTCTGGCGTAGGTCGCCTTCGCGGATACCTCCGCCCTCCTGCAGGGCCGGCTTTGATTCCGACTCCAGGCGTCCCACTTTTGGATTCGCTCATGACCGGTTGACTCAGCAAGATCTAGCACGAACAAGTAATAATTACAAGAACATTACAAGAACATTAAATCATTAGTTGACATTTGGCAGATTTCATGTCACGGAGAGCGAGAGTTGATCTGTTGCCTACGTAGCACATTTACCAATGGTGGTGATTGACGTCACAATTGAATGGCGTCAATTGTGACGTCACAGTACGTCAGAAGTGACGTCACATGGCAGCTCATCTCACACGAAGCAGGAAGTTCCTAAGCTGTTGAAGCCGGCTGAGTAGGCTCGGTTTTCAGCATTGCAATGAGCGTGCCAAGCTAAGCAGCGGACGCCCTTGAGCTCGAACAGCGTATTGCTTGCAAGACTGAGGCAGAAGACTTGGGTAAATGTTTACTTCATCTCTTTTGCTTCATCAATAGACCATTGTTAAAGGCCGTTGAAATTATACTCACAATGTGCAAGAGGCCTATTTCACAAGGTGCTGGTGGAATTGAAAGCGGCCTACATTTGCAACAAACAGCTGTATTCACTCATATTCCTAGCTGTTGCTTGCATCTCTGCATTCTAAAAGCCTATTTCCTGTGCCTCTTCACTTCTTGGCCTCTTTATATGTTTCGACATAAACCAGCGCTCAGTCGTCTGAGCTCGCCAAGTGGTGCTGTCGGGGCGGGACGCTCAGGCGCGGCCATCCCACGGCATGCAGGCGTGCCTCTCAGGACAGGACAGACAAGTACCGAGCTGCAGGATGATCCGGAGTCAGCCGGCACCATCCGCCGGGCACCGGTGCACGCGCCCGCGGGCCAGAGGTGCGGCCAATGCCGCGTCCTCGGCGACGTCTGGCTGCGACCGCCGCGCGCCGCACCCACTGTCCGCCGTGGCCTCAGGCGGCCGTGAACCCGTGATTTAACGCTCAGTGACACTGAGACCCCACGATTTGGATGAGCTGAGTGATAGGAACAAGACTGCGCTGGTTTTAGGCAGGTCTCCTAATATCTCCTTCCGTGAACTGCGATTTTTAGAAAGGGTGTGTTTGCGGATCCTTCTGCGCATTATTGACGCATAAATGGAAAATATTTTGAAGAGGCGTGGATGTATGCCGGCCAATCGAATCCAATCGAAGGACAGTGCGCCGGACGCTGTTCTGGATTCATCTGCAGACTTGTCAATGTTCCCCCTGCGAGGGGCTGTTGGAGGTCACCGTGGCGCGGCCCTGACGGGCAGAACGGACGCGATTGTTCTGTCGATCGGCCAGTGTTACCCCTATACGAGGGGCAGTAGGGAGTGACCGCGGAACGCGGCGGCCGGGGACGGGAGACAGAGCAGCGTGCGAACGGGAGAGGACGGGAGAGGAGCGAGGTCGATCACAGCCGCCCCGCCGCCGCCCGGGTCCGATTAAGGTCGGCGCCGGACCACAACACACCGCCGCCGCCCAGTGCGGCCCGCTGGAGGGCGGGGGCGGGGGCGGGGGCGGCGCCGCGCCCCACCGCCCCTCCCCGCCGCTGCAGAACAGCGCTCAAAGCCAGTCGGCTCTTACACGTACACGTAATCGTTGTGAAGGGCTTTGTAGGTGTGTTGCAAAAGGCCAATTAAATTCTGATGGCATACACGTGATATGGACATCACATGAAGCAAAAACGGAGATCTTGCCCCACTGATGCCAGCTCAAACAGCCGTCGTGATTGACGGGAAAGTCAAAAGCCGCATGAGCCGGATTGGCTTTTTGGAGAACCGAACCATCGAACCTTCTTACCGGCCGCAGTGTTCTGATGTAAGCGATCTGCGGCGTATCTGTGCAGCATCAATACGGAGTACCGTTCTCGTCCGATGCTCGGTTCGCCCTTTTTTGCTCTGTCACGGCCATCCGGCGGGCAACTAATCTTACCACATGTTGCGACGTCGCGCAGTCCTGTCCCGAAACCGTCATTAGCAGTGACGACAGATAGGAGAGCGGCGCCTCGCCCCGCCCCGTCTCGGCGGCCCCTTTCAGAGAACATCTGCGCGGCCCGCGGGCGGCTCCCGGCAGCTCCGAGCCGAACCCTCCGCAGCCGCTGGCCTCGCTCAGTCTCCCCGGTGCCGGCGGCCCACCGCGCTCCCAGCCGGCCCATCGCGAAAGCCGAGGTCACACACACCTGAGGCCGGCCGGCTTACGTCATCAGGTGTCCAACCAGACCCTCTCGGCCCGGCCCAGCGCTGGACGCCGCTCAGTGCCACCTAGCGGACGGAAGGTGAAATATTCGACGATAGCAGCGCTATGGGAACGTGTGGGGAGTATGAGAACTAAAGCTTTAGTAGAATTCCGCACCTGTGGGCTGCAGTACTCGCTTCGTGTGCTGACCTACAGGCATCCTCCGTTCCGTCTGTTCCATCATCAGGTACAAATCCTTCTCCTCCACGCCTCAAACCCCCTGAACTGTGCTGGACGGTCACCTTCGTCCAAAGTGAGTGAGTAGCTCCTTAGGAGCAGGCCGACGTGCGGTGGGGTTTTAGCGGGGATGAGTGGCCTGTCCATTGAGACGGGCTCAGCCCAGCCCCAGCGGAGCACCAGGGTGGCCGCCCATACCAATGTTCCCCCTAATTCCTACCATTCTTCCGGCTCTGAAAAGGTCTCATTACACCGAAAGGGCTTGTTTTGGCATCTGTAATTTTAGAGCGAGGGACATGAGCGATGACAATGCTGAGCGTGAGCTATGTAGATGTTGGCGATAGAGACTCCTGCCGGCGGAGTCTAGAGACTTTTGTCGGCGGAGTCTAGAGACTCCTGTCGGCGGAGTCTAGAGACTCCTGTCGGCGGAGTCTAGAGACTTTGTTTTGTTTGTTTTGTTGGGTTAGGCCCTTTCGGTCGACAAGACCATTGCAGAGCCGGAAGGATGATAGGAATTAGGGGGAGACATTGGTCTGGGCAGGCACCCTAGTGAGTCGCCGGGGCTGAGCCCGTCCAGAGGACAGGCCACTCAGCCCCAAGGCACTCACTGCACCCGGCTACGGGGTGCGCTCCCTCAGGAGCAGCGGTGCCGCTCCAAGGGAGCAGCCCGCATGAGATAAAGTTGCCTGTCCAGCCCGGAGGGGGGTTGCAGCTTGGAGGAGAAGGATTTCAGCATCCTGAGGATAGAAGCACGGACAGGTGCGTCTAGAGACTCCTGTCGGCGGCGTCTCTCGGTCCGCTGAGCGGCGTCACTCACCGATGGTGGAGGGGATGTTACAGGAGCCCGGGCCGGGCGTCTGGAACTCGGCGGCGATCGGACGGCGCGGCCGGGTCGGCGTCCACGCACCCTGCACCATGGTGGGGTGAGATGAGAGGCCGGAGGTGACACTGAGCGACACTGAGCGACACCTGGCGACACCTGGCGACACTCGGCGACACTTGGGCGATAGGAGATCCTCCAATCCTCTGGGTGTCGAAGGATGATTGTGCCTGAAACAGGAAAGTGTTTGTTAGAATGGTGCCTGTGGAGACGGGAGGGTTCAGTTGAAAGTACTACAAGCCATTTTCAGAGCGACAGATTAGATTTTAATTCAAGACGAAGCAACCAACTCAATTATAGGTACATACTGTCATGGAGGCCACATAGTACGATGGTAGGCATTTACTCTTTTCATACGCGATACATGCTATTGGGATTTTCTTCTGACTCATCCCCACACATTCCCTTTTCCATCGTCCAGTGATTAGTTCCCAGCCCACGGGCCCCTGCGTCTAGCCAGGACGCCGATCGATGCACCGTGCTGTATTTGGTGCGGTCGCGGTGCCGCGCGGGCGGCCCGTCCTCTGGGAGTCTCTCTGCCGCGCCCTCTGCCGGCGTGGAGGCGGAGAGGAGGCCGGCCGGACCTCCGCGACCTACACGGGGTTCCGCAGGGGCGACCGGCACTTGTTTACCATACCGACATGGCAGCGCGCGGGCCGCCGCAGCCCACGGACCGACCCAAATATGGCGCCGGGCGCGACATGAAGCGCATGTCGCCCCTCTGGAGATCGGCGCTGGACGCGTCTGTGTGCCCTGTTTCACCGTTGGAGCTGTGTTCTGATAGTACGTGATATCTCCCCTGGCGGTGCCGCGGTCATCAAACCGACCGCCGGCGCTCTGTCGCGCTAGTCGCCGCTGCGTGGTAGTGGGCCCGAGGCCCGAGCTATATGTCGTTGCATAAATTGTGGGTTTTGAGGAGCTCGGCGGTAGCATGAGTTCACGTATGTTGACTCTGACCCGGCCAAAGAACTGCGTGGTTCATGGTGGCCAGCGTACGAGTAGGGGCTAGTGACAGTTGAAGTAGCTACTGACGACGGACATGCCACGATGCGGGACGCTTCATGGTTGTCAGGTCTTCATGGTTGTGGTTGTCAGAGCTGGACAAACTGTCATTCAGAGAAGACATGACGTGGTTTTGTGCAGGACAGGGAGGGCAGAGTGCCGTTCGGAGAAGACGAATACAAATCTTGCTTTGACGACCGTAGCTACATAAAACGTTCTTGGGCTCCATTCGTGAGCTGCAAACGTTGTGGTCATGGAACTACCAAACGGAGTAACGCATTGCTTTGTGATGCCACGGCACGACGGTATATTGACAATAAGCTCACTATCAGTCATACTTTGTTGTGATGAATTCCGTGTGTGTGATCAATCGATTTTATTTTGTTGTCTGTTTTTCCTTTTATAAGAAAATACGATGAAGGTGTTATGGTAGCCAATTGCTATTCATGACGTTCCCCATTTGTTTACGAGCTCCTCAGTCATGAGTTCTGTCCTGTTTCTCACCGAAGACGACATCGCTGGAATGTCATTATCGCAGTCACACCGAGGCATTTGTTCGTCAGAAACTCACCTTCATGCATAACCAAGGCAAGTGACACTCGAGGATGAACAGATTCGTTTTCGTGGTGTCTTTCCCAACTAATTATTCAGTCAATCCAAGCAAAATACAAAGTGAGTGCCTTCTGGCCTCTCTCTCTCTCTCTCTCTCTCTCTCTCTCTCTCTCTCTCTCTCTCTCTCTCTCTCTCTCTCTCTCTCTCTCTCTCTCTCTCTCTCTCTCTCTCTCTCTCTCTCTCTCTCTCTCTCATCTCCATTCTCTATTCTATACTCTCTAGTGGATGGTGAAACCCACCAACCAAAGTGTTCTCGTATTCAACATTTGGTGTAGCACCGCTAGCACAATGGTCTCGCCGATGCAATGTTGTGATGCGGTCTTTGCAAGTCCTCATGCGTGGGATGCAAAGATTAATCGCCAACAACCAGAGGAAGGGCTACCTAAAGATGCTGAGCCTGCACAGCTTTAGGAGGACCTTGAAATGAGTCTTACATGTTGGCAACCTCATCATGTCAAACAAATCATACCTGCCACCCAAGTCCCAACCTTTGGCCGAAAAGCCTTTTCAAACTACTGCAGTACATCCGCAGTTTCCTCGCGGTGTGCGTGTGCGTGCGTGGGCGCGTGGTCGGCGCAGCGTCGGCCGTATGTGGGCGTCGTCTGATCACCGGGCCGGGCCGGGCCGGGTGGGCGGACAGGGACGCTAGTTTGTCACGTGCCGCGCCGAACATGGCGCTGCGGTGGCCAACACGGCGCGGGTGCCGACCTTGCCACGGCGTCCTGTCCTGTGATAGATGGCTGAGGGCTAACTGTCGGCTGAGTCCCCGAATTAAGACAATAAAGCTCTACATATAGTTGACGAAGTTAAGCAACAATAAACAAATTAAAAATTCAGCAATGCGCCGGATATAGTGAGATGCTCTGGGCCTGGGGTCTTGGGCGACACTCATTTAACACTATGATTTAATGTGGACAAAAAAGTAAAATCTGTGGTTTTTTGAAAATCGGTCTTTATCCGTAGGTACTTACATGCTTTTTCATGTGACTGGTGAGTGTGACAGTTAACAGTTAATTTTTCGTGTACATACACATAAACACCGTATAAGGCAATGCAATGCTTTGTGTGAGCTTACAAAAGCAAAGCATTAACGAAAAGCTAGCATTTGACCATTTTGAGTCTGTTGAAGTTGCTCTACCTCTGAGCTCTGACCGACACAATGGGGATAACTGATGCATTTGCCTCTCTGGTTAGGCTCTTACGGCCTGTGCCTGTCTGCTGAGAGGGGGGGGGGGGGTGAGTTGCCATCACGGACTGGCCAGGATCCGCGGTTAGCGGAACGTTTACGATGTGGTTTGCGGGGTCGAGTTGTGGCCTTTCCCCGCCCCAAGATAGTGCTCTTTTGAGGATAACGAGCTATCATAAAAGCACGATATGAGTAGCTTAGCCGAGGCAGGAGGCTATTATTCAATGCAAACGACACTTCTTTGGAACAGAGATCTGCATGTGTTCTGGTTACCAGGCAAAGCAAACGCATGCAGTGGTCGTTCTTCGAAATGACCGTTTGCATGTTCAACAACTGAATAAATTTCTGCACGCACGCACTCTGCCTTTGCTGGGGTCAATTGATTCGTTGACAACTCAAGACACGTTCTCAGTAAAACGCTGCTCCTGATGTTTAAACATTCAACAATTCCCAATATGGCAAGACTCGGGCAAAAGCCGGTTTGATTGGGTTTCAAGTTCCATGAGCGAAAAACAGGCCCCTATCTTGATGCCCGCTCTTCCCTGATCACTCGGATAAGTTCGACCGATTTGGCGACATTAGCATATTTATTATTTAGTGTCGGGACAATATGTAAGCGTCACCATAACGCTGCTCAGCTCCTTATTGGGATAGACGTCGGTTGTAATGAAATCATTCTGATGCTCTAATCATAATACAGTACCTATCGCTAAAAAGGTATCCGAAGTCACCGACTGTCGCATTTGAATTGAAATCCATCATCTATTTCATTCATTCATTTTCGTTATCATTTATTCGCTCACGGTATGAATTAATACTGCCGAAATTCTGCGTGCCTTGCATGAGTTTGCTAACATGAACGTCAAATGCTGATAAAGCATCATTGTAACCATACTGCGGCCCATTTGGCATCGTAGCTTCTCCCAATGCAACGCTTCTCAGCAAATGAAGTGCTTGCGTATGCACGTGCACGCGTGCCCTGGAGCACGCTCTGGTGTGAGTGCACATTGTCACGTGCTCACACTCACGCACTCGGAGAGGGACGGTGCCGCTGCTGCTGAGGCCGCCCAATCAGCTGACTCAGGGCACCGCGGCGCGCCCCGCCGGCCGACACGGCTCCGCTGCCATGTAAGGAGTGCGTTACAGACCCGCCCAGTGAGGTCCGCAGGCCTGTCAGCTGCAATGGCGGACAGACTGTCTCACTGCCGGCCTCACGGGCTGACAGACTGTCAGAATGGCCAGCCGACCAGCCCTCCGCGTCATGACAGGCTGTCAGGCTAAATCCTGGCGGCAGTGGCAGGATGACGGACTTATGGAAGACGTGGAGATCTCGACAACAGAACGGCCGAGGCTTATGCGAGGCTCTCACCGGGCGAGGCCGGGTAGCTGTTTAAGGTGTCTGTCGACAGCTGTTCTTGAGAATTACTTTTCTATAGACCTGCGTCCATACATAGACTGTAAGCAGACGCTTCCGTTCGGAACTGTCGGTACGTCTTTTTCTTGCATCAGGCCTTCTCAAAGGTAGATGGCATGCGGTATACCCCTTTTTATTGTTCAAGTTTGCAAACATTGGACGACACGAGATATCTCAATGTTTTGCGGTTGAAACGCCCTAGCACAATGTCGTGTTTTCTTAGCTACAGCGGGCTGTAGGCAATGAAGGCATACAACAGCATATGGGCAGGAAAGACGCTGGACTCCCTGTCAGCTGTAATTGGGAAGCGCTTTCAAAAGCATATATACAACATGGCTTAGGTACATATAAACAATATCAGTTTTAGAGAGCATGAAAATTATGGCCACGATTTATTTCAACTATGTAGCTCTCAAGGAGTGTCGAACTCTTTCAGGCATATATTTTGCATGCATGGCCTGGCAAGGCAAAACGCATACGAGATGATCTACAAACATAACCACTTGTAAATATCACTTGCCCGCTCTTTGAATCCTCTACTTCTGAATCCAAATGTATGCTGAGGACAGTGACATTTAATCTACATAACAACGATAAGGGACTCTGTGTGCCTAGCATGCCGTGTTCAGACGACTCCTGCCCCGCTCTCGGTCTGTTACGGCCATAAGCAGCACTGCTGTGTGAATGTCAGATGCCCTATCTCTTTTACTGCTGCCGCCCATACCCTTATGTGCCGTTGGCGATCATTTACCGACTGCAGACACCAGTCAGAGGCCATGACGGACCAAATAAGATGCCGCCCGCGGCCGAGTGCCGACTCGCAGTGTATGATTTGTATTAGGGTAGTGACAGTTATGAGGGCGTTATTTAGGGCGCCGGTGCGGCCCTCTCGGCGTCGTCCTGCCCAGAGCAGAGTCCGATGGTCGCGGCACCGCCCTCCGCACCGGTTCTTCGGAATAACGTCCGGCATCAAGGACAAATGCCAGGGGAACAAGGCTCCATTCTATCAGGTAAATATGATCGGCGTCTTATGGGTCTTCAGTGCGGTGAATTCTGTATGAGCTATGTTTTTAATTAAAATCAGGTTTAGAGTCGGAACATGTTTCGGGATTGGCATACTGCTCATCCATGAAAAATGTTGTATGAATTGTACAAATGATACTGTCACTGAAAATAAACAGGTGTTGTTGGCAGACGTTTTCTGTTTTAAAATGTCAATACATTTTTAAGTTGCAATAATCAATGCACAATACTGAATCAATTAAAGAGCACCTGAATCAGCCAGCTGTGGCATATAATTGAATGTTGAAACACTTTTTTACAAATGAAGAACAATGACGACACCTGTGTGGTGGGACCGTGGTCGGCGACCATATCACGCCTTGCTATCAGGCAGCGTCATTTAGATGTAGTAGCCGTCTACCCACTCCTGCATGCGATGCCACGATCCTAGCACGCGAACCGGCAGTCATCATTGCATCGCGCCCCAATTTTGGCAGGCTGTGCCTTAGTTGGGTATGCCTCTGCTTATCCAACGCTTATCAAATATGTGGGGCTTAGAGGCCAGCCTCGAGACTCGGCACCTCCTTGTTGCATGCTGTCGTGTCGTCGTGCTTCTGTGCTGAATATTCTTATTTTTTACTTAACATAATTTTAACGACACCCATTAGCTACCTGACTTGTTGCCAGCTGGTGGTTTTGAAGTTGCGCGGTTTAGGTCAGCCGTCAGTTTAGTGCTCAACTAATTCGCTTCTGAAAGTCCACCGGTATAATGCTGCAGCTCCAATTTAAGCCGTCGGCCTAACTTAATATTGGTTTTAACTGGCAGCTTAATCATTTGCATCGGATCTGAACGTTTATTCAGCAATCGCTGAAGGGGATAAAATGATAAATGTCAGATGATTCGTACCAATTAACGTGGCACATAATATATCCTCACGAACAAAAGCGGATTAGATAAGTCGTACATACGATTGATACGCTTTTATAGAGTTCATTGGAGCTGGTACGAGTATTACTGCTCTTGCAACATTCTGGGTGTCTATATTTGAAGAAATGCTAAGCCGTAGAAACCTTACGATTTACGAATACCCGGCTTGCTGACGTCTGGGTGCAGTTTTAATGTGCAGTTAGGAACTGTGCCTGATGTGCTGTCGCACAAATGTGGCAGCTGTGCCGCTCAGCATATTCTGCTGACCGCCTCTTCAAGATTCTTAGTGCAGCGGTGTCACCGTCCACCCATGACCCGGTCACTGGGATGACATTAGCGGACAACAATTACTGGATAGCACCTCAAGCGACCTCCACCGTGTGACCTTAGAGGGATTCACAAGCAAACTGGCGACCTTCGGGCGGTGACCGGGATCACCATAGTAGACGAGCAGCCACACCAACGGACGCAAAATCACCGACTGGAGACCAGCCACCAGTGACTGAAAACCGTCATGACCAGCGACCTCTGTGACCAGTGACCACTGGCACCAGTGACAGGTGACCAGTGATTTTTAACCAGCAAGCTGTGCTCACTGACCAGCGACCTTTGTCCCCACCTATGGCGTGCGTGTCGTGTTTGTGAGCGCCGGATATCGAGGTCGGCGGGACCGCGCCGCGCGCTGGCGGCGACAGCGGTACTGCGGCGGGCCGCACGTGAGACAGGTCGGGTCAGGGTCGCGGGGCGGAGCGGTGTGGTGGCCGCCGGGGCCGCCGCCGCCGCCCACACCTGTCCCCGTACCCGTGCCGCCCTTCCGTCCGAGTCCTTCCGGCCTTCCCTTCGGCCGGCCTCCCGTCCGTCTGTCTATTCGCTTATCTGTCCGTCAGTCCGTCCGTCTGTCTATCGTCTATCTATCGGTTACCCGAAACCCCCTGTGGGAGCCGGACAGGGCGGACGTCGACGACAGGCAGACAGACAAACAGACAGACAGACAAACAGACAGACTGACAGACAGACGGAGGTGCTGGGTGTCAGCTGGGAGCCGCACCGCCCCGCAGGATCGGCTGATTCAGGGACTATGTATTTCAAAAAGGCGGAAGACACCTAGTCCGTCGCAGATTCAGCTATTTATATGCAAGATTCCGGTAGGTCATTGTCAAGTACATAGTTACGTGCATGTACCACGTGCGAGCACTTAAGCATGAACTTCAAAACGGCTTATTTTGCATTGGAGATTACCTCACAAAACTTGCCTGTCTGGTGTTAAATTTACACCTGATGTAAATGAATAAGCGGTCGCTGGCCATTACCATCTCAGTGCCACGCTGCTCGCTAGGCCCGACGTCTCGCGACCTCCGTGAGCCATAGTACGGGAATGGGTCCGGCGTGGTGAAAGGCACTGGACGCCCAGGAATGCCACTGACCCCTGGCCGGCCCTGGGCGCAGCCAAAGAGCAGACATCACGTCCACATCGAGGCCGGAATTACTGTCTTCGATTGGCACTGAATCAAATACGAGTATTTTGTTGCAGCCATCTGCTTAGAAACTTAGAAACGAATGTTTCGAATAAACTTTAAACAGACGTTGGATAAGAACATGTTACCAGCAATGGCTTTCGGTAACCGTCGGTGGGTGTGATAAAACTGCACTGTGATTCTTTTCGGTAGGCAGAATTTGTTGAAAGATACGTGTATGTACTGTCCAATGGTCTGTCCACATGGTGAGAGGAAGCGCTTGCACTTGCAGTATTCATGTATTTGTTTAGAACGCACGTTTCTAATTTATCGATGGGGTGTGAATTGTGATATTCATCGCAACAAATTCGGTTCCACATGCGAACGGCTCCGTGCTTCGCTAAAACCATGCTTCACATATTCACTCAGATTGGACGCATGCAAATGAAGCGTGCCTGTGCTAACACCAAACCAAACAGCAAACAGTTTGAGACGGCGGCGCACGTGCGTCCCGTCTCGTCTCGTCTCTCCCCGTGTCCCTCACCTGGCGATGGCCTGGTGCGGCGCTGAGAGCTGCCACAGCTCAGCTGTGCTGCAGACGAGCTCACTGCGGAGCGGCGGTCACTGGGGCGCGGCTGGACGGGCGGCACCGGGGCGCGGCGCGGTCACACGAGAGAGCCTGCGAGCGGCCGGTCAGTCCGTCAGAGCCCAACTGCCGCCGCCGCCGCCGCCGCCGCCAGCCGCCCGGAGCCCGGCGTGGGCGTCGGACGGCCGCCCCCGCCCCGGAGCGACGCCCACGACGCCCGCGACGCCCCTGTGTGCAGGAGGGCTGTCTTCAACACCCATCTGGTCTGCAGCAGCCCGCACGGTCACGGTCGCAGCTCGCGCAGCTCACATAAACAGCCCGGTATCAATCAGTGTGTCACCGGTGAGATTCGTGCACTCGCCGGCGGTAAGTGACCGCATTTCTTATGTCACGCGCTGATGCAGAGGTGATGTAAGTGAGAGGGCACGAGTGGCCGCCGGGATGGCTGCAGCTGCACTGAGCTGGTTTAAAAGATGTGTTTTCTATAGTGGATGCCAAGTGGATGCGATCACTTGAGATTGAATGCTGCCGTCTGGGAACTGAATCGGAAAATAAATACTGCATGTCAAGACACATTCAAATAACAGCTGCAATCGTGAATGGCAGTTTCCAGGCTGTGGTGGACTAATTGGAAAATGGCTAAACAACCACTTCAGCTGTGAACGGCTTTCTCGTTTTGACATTACAAACCGAGCTCCATTCAGTATCCGGTGTTGGATGGCGAGATAGCCTGCTAGCCTACATTCGACCGTCAGTTAATTGGGGTAATGGCTCTGGCTAAACGCTCACAGCGGATGTATGAACCATTTTTGCGCATCCCTGCCCTCGCATCACGCCATTATGCTGCGTGTCGTTTCCGCGTTGTGGGTGGGTTTGAACGAAATTAGACGGCACAGCCGACAGTAAAGGACCTGTCAATCATGTCTGTTTTACCTGTCGTTATCATGGTATCTCTTTCTCACACCACTCTGACAGGACCTCTCTCCTCTCTTACCTCTCTCTCTCTCTCTCTCTCTCTCTCTCTCTCTCTCTCTCTCTCTCTCTCTCTCTCTCTCTCTCTCTCTCTCCCTTCCTCTCGGGTACACATTCAACCACCTGCCGTCCTCTCCTTCCAAACTCGTCATTACTTTCCTGAAAACCTTAACACTCTCCTATCCTTTCTCTCTGTCAAAACCTTTCTGGACGCGTCCTATCAGCCCTGACTCCGTCTCCCCCTCCCTGATCGCTGTCGCTAGGCCACCCACCTGCCCCTCTCGTTCTGTCGCCTCCATTCTGTCAACCCATTGGCAGATCTGTGACGAGGTCAGGTGAGCTGAACCTGGATTCGGTCAGAGATAGTCCCGATGGCTCAGGTTTCTGGTGCTGCCGTAACCGATTCTTTACACTCTCAGTCGTGGATAGATAGGCTAAAGTGTGGTTGTCTAAAGCCTTTCCGGGAGACCTTAACGCAACACCGAAAGGCAGGGAGACACCGGTTGGTCACGTGACTCGGAAACAAAAATCAGCTGATAGAGTGGCGGAATCGCCGTAATCAAACACGAATAATTCCGGACGATAGAGCGGCAGTATGGGAGTTTTCTTCACAACAGGCAAACATTGCAATGTTTTATCATTTTATGATCAAGAAACGTTCATAAACCATATATTTCTTCGATGATTACTGCCGCAACCGACGCGCACATATCGTAGCCAGCGCATCAAGCTGTGCTTTGCGATATTAAATGTAAAGAAAAACATTCTATATCTTGCTTCAACCTTCTACTTACGCTTTTATAATTACGACAGCGACACCATACGGCCTATCGACGCTATGCAACTCCATGAGTGTCCGGCCGCACTCTTCCGAGTGTGCCGAGATCAGAAGCGGACCATCCGCGGCACGTCCAGCTGCACTGCCCGGTCGCTGGGAGGGCGACACCTAGCGCCGCTCTGGCCGCTCGCTTTGGCTACGCCTGTGGGAGGGGAGGAGGAAGACCAACAACAGTCTGATGAGCCAATGGAGTCTGCGAGCCACGCCAATCAGCGCCCTTCCGCGCGCAGACGGGAGCTAGAGCTATTCATCTCCTTTCCTGTTTTCGCTGGTCCGCCAGTCACCAGCACCGTTCCGTACTCTCGATCGTAGCCATTCAGCCGTGTTGTCCTATACAACAACAGTCAGCAGCCTCGGATCGCGCCAGTTGGCCGCCAGAGAATCTATATTATCTATTTGCCGTACAGCATTGCAAGCGTTACAGTGTTTGCAGCCGGGTGTAATCAGTAGTTGACACATTTATGTTTTGTATCACAAAATTAAAAAATTCATTGAAATATATTCACTTTAATTTGCATATAGCTTTTGATTCTTGACGCGGATTGTTAGCCCTTGCTACATCAAACAGCCAACATCCATATTTCTGTTTCCAGAGCTGCAGTGCTGGACACCGAAAGTACATTATGTTCTAATAATTCAATCCAAAGGTACATAGATTTCACGACAAACTTCTAGGTTCCAGAGCAAGTATTTTCTCGCCAGAAGCGCGCGATTGATTGCAGCTGGCGCGCTCACGATAACTAATATCGCGCTCGCCAAAACCTGCCGGTTACAGCCACTCACACCTTACTTCCAACCTCCGTCCCATTTATCATTTATTAGCATATCGAGACAGAATGAGACTACGACATAATCGTCAAATTATATAACACAAATTGCGGGACGTCATCGGAGAGCCCGTTAAAATACCAAACCCCAATCTCGGCCAACACCGTTGGGACGGGGCGGGGGGGGGGGAGGGGCAGGAAGGGCTTGAAGCTGGGGGACGTATCGGCGTATCCTTCATAGACACGGGTGTTTCGCAACGCTGAAGCGTCGAGCCAAATTCGTCTCAATCGCCGCACTAACACAGCAGCGCTGCGTAGCGCGCTGCAGTACGCTGCCGTGAAACAGGGCCCAGGAGTCGGATGGTCGCGGCGGCGGCGGCAGCGTGGAGCCCTTGAACGACGCCATCAGCTCGAGCACCGGCGACTAGTGACCTGTAACAGAGCGAGTCGCGTCACGTCACGTCGTCACCTTTCAGTCGCGACGGCCGTTATATAAACAGTTACTGAGAACATCACGTACCAGCCACGGCGACCGTCACATTACAGTCACGGTGATCGTCACACAGCAGTCACGGCGACCGTCACAGGTCACGACGGTCATCAAATACCAGCCACGGCGAGTATGACTCATAGTCACAACGTCTTCTGTCGCACACTCAGTCATAATTACAGTACATTAGCCTGTGCATAAACATCTCATCCAAGAAGTCCAAGCCCGATTATTACCCGCGTGGGGCTGCGGTTTGGTGGCGTGCGCGACCGGCCCGACGGTTCAACGCCGGCGCTTACAGCGGGTCGATCCCTACCAGTTCAACTGGCAGCTCACCGACACGGACTGGACACATGTGTTAAAGCAGCAGAGACCTACGGAGAAGTGGGAGGAATTTTGCAGGATTTTCCTATCACAACTCGACACAGTGGCCCAGGCGTCCACAACTCGACACAGTGGTGACCAAGGCGCAGCTGCGCCCCCCCCCCGGTTCACACAATTACTGACCTGGAGATAATGTGATGGTTTCTGGACAATGTGGTTGATACTGGCCACCACCTCTGCAACTTTCTGCCAGGTGACGTCCTTCAGCTGGATCGAACCGCGTCTTCAGAACCGCCGACAGCAACGAGCCTGTTGAAAGATAACATGCTCAGAACTAAAAAACCACAAAGCATACAATGGAAACGGAAGCTGGCCACAGGCACGGTACACAACGGCGGTCTTTTATGCTAAGACAGTTCCATCGCCACAAAAGATTGCAAATGGCTATGTTATAAAACTCAGATGTCACATATCTAGTCTGATAATGGATACTGGCCGCACGTCATGTGGATGGCAGCATGGCTTGAGCTGTGTGCTTTGGCATTTCCATGGTGAGGTATATTACACTACGCATTCGCGATGGCCCACAGTGATAAAATGTGGGAAATGGATTTTCTCCTCAGTCCTCTTCTTT